TTCTCATTGCTTGATATTTAGATCAAATATCCCAGTGTTTGGAACTGAACAGAGCTCTTTATACCTTTTTTATTTTTTTAAGTTTATGCTTCCCACCTGTCTTGTTACAAATAGTTATTTGGGTTGAAATACTGGTTTACAGCTCTCTTTGGTTTCTGAACAGTCATCTGCTTGTGTGCAATAGATTCTCCTCTTTGATGAATGATCATAGTTCACAGATGAGGATTCCAGAGCCAGTGAATTGTCCTCAGTTTCACACATCTCTGTTTTCAACAGATGTTCAAAATTCAGCAGTTTCCTAGTGTTCTCATATTTATATAATATCAATTTTAGTGAACTGGGGTCACCAGAAATTGAGGGTAGGGAGAAAAGTCATTCCTGTTTTTGGAGTGTAGTTTCTTGTGTACTGCAGACAGCTGGGCAAGATACTCAGCAAATGGGCAGGTTCCAAAGAGGTAGGTGCAGACTTCTTTTGGACTCTGACTATCAGAAAGATCTCAGGGAGATCCTGAGCTTTTATGGCCACACAAATAGTTGCAGTGGCTTAGGAGGCTGTATATAACTTTAACTTGGTGAAGCAATATCCCATGTGTTATCTGGGAAGTAAGCATTTGGGCTCTGCCATGACTGATCTTAATTTGTCTTCATATTAGTGATTGAGAAGGAATAGAACTTGAAGCTGTTTTTTAAAAAATAACAAGAACTTAAAGAAACCAGACTGTTTCTTTACTTTTCTTCCACGTTGCCTGTCTTCTGGAGGTATCAGGAGAACTGTGCTCATGGCTAGATTTTTAGCATGAAAGGAAAGATTGAAATATGGAAATCTTGAATAAATACCTGATTTTAAGAGTAATTTTTAAAGGTCTTGAAGAACTTGGAAATTGATTGAGATGGATCAAAGGATTCTCTATAGTGTCTGAACAAAATGCCTTTCATTTTTGAACTCATCAGTTGGATATATTTAACAGGCATGTTGACTTGGTTAAACATCTTGTTCTATTACCAAGGAGTCCGGTGTCTAGTGCCAATACAGCTTTTCTATACTAGGGATTAAATAGGCTGCTGGATTTGTTCTGGCTCTGTTCCTTATGGGCTGATACTGGATTATTGCCAATATTATTCCGTCTGTCTAGATGCTTAACAGGAAGTATGAAAAATTAGGAATATTATGAGATTCCTCATCACTCAAGGCTTACTTGTGTCTTTGTAGGTGCTGCATTGGCCCAGGTGGTTTGTGGTTAAAGTGCTGAAATTGAGAGCTTTTTGCTCTAGAGTGGTCTTTCCAGAAAACTTGTGCTGTCATATTTGTGATTCTGCCTCATGGAGCTCCTCTGGTGCAGAGTTGTTTCTGTTGGTGCCATCCAGCACTGGGACTGAACGTGGGCACTGTCTGGCCCAGGCTGTTCAGTACAAAGACAAGCAAAGCTCCAACCATCTGCACAGGTAACTACCTGGCTTGCCTGAAGAAGACCTGGGAGCAAAACAGCTACTTGCTACTGCTGGAGAGCAATGGCAGGGTGGGGAGATGGTGTGCCTCTTCCATGTTTGGGCTCACTTGGCCTTCACAGACACTTCCTGACTAATCTTCACAGCCTGTAACAGGACGGGGCCTCTGAAGCACTGAGGATCAGCCTTCCTGGGATTTGAAAGGTGTTTAGGTGAAAAAAGGGCCACAAATGAAAGAAAGTGGCTGTTTCCTGCTCTGTTTGACTGATGCTGGTAAAAAGGTCCAAGATAGCTATGCCATCTCTTTCTGTCCCTCATGGAGTAGGTATCTTTTGTCCCTCTAAGTTGTTAGAAACCATTTGCGATATGCTGGTGTAGCTGCTGCTATTCTGTTGCCTGTTCATGGGTTATCTTGATCCTTTATGGGTTATTGAGGATTAACTGTGGCTTTTGCTCAGAGGAAAGGGGGGAGCTGTTCAGGTATGAGGTTTTAGGGAAGGGATTATTTGGGATAACCAAGAGTGGACAATTTGTGGGCACTAACTTGTGATCCCAAGACTGGAAGAGTTGTGGTGGTAGAATTCCCTTCCTAGCATGGGCTCAGCATGGCTGTGTATGCTGCAGGCACATAGAGCTAGTCTGGCATGGTGACAGCTGTCCAGAGACACCTTAATCTGCTGAATAAAGGGGAAATACTAATCTTTTCTGCATCTTTTTCACCTTAAGTGTGCCCATGCCAGAACACATCTGTGTTTTGTTTGTGTCCCCAGTGTACAGCACAGTAAATTTGCCCCTGGTGCCAGATGGGTAAATGCTTCACTGTAGCAACTACCACATTGCCTCTGTAAATTGCCAGAGAGCTGCTCCTGTGTCCAAGGGCTGCTGATCCCACCTGAGAGCTGCTTTGGCTGACCTGTTCTTGGGCCAGGAGAACTGAACTGATTACCAAACCAGCAAAGCAAGGTTTACTTTGCTGTAGTAGGTTGCAAGTATCTGTGGTGATTTTATGCCTACAGAGAAAAGCCAGTTCTTTTCTGCTTCCTTTTGTTTTGTTGCCTTTTCTTTAATTTTTGTTGCCTGGGATGGAAATGTAAGCAGAGGGAGGGAAACTGGTGTGACTGTTGAAGTGCTTGGGTGCCACTGCAGTGAGGTGTGAAGGCATGGAGAAGCAATGGGAGTGAAGAACCTGAGTGGTGCTCAGGGTCCAAGCTGCTGGTGCTGCTTAGAGCTTCCTGGGGTAGCTCACCTCTTGGGAATAACTCCTTGCTCCTGCCTGAGCAACTGGCAGAAGAGTCTGTCAGTTTGGGCAGCCTGGCCTCTTATGCATCTCACAGGTCATCCAAGGATTCTTGTCTGGGAGAGCAGCTGACTCCTCCTCATACCTCTGTTGTGTGTCTTACAACTCTGGGCTACACATATATCTTGTAGGATGAAGAAAGTTTTGCAGAAGCCTTGATAAGGGCTGTGTGCATATCCATTTGTCCTGCTGGCTTTGCAGAATGGCAGATGGAGGGGATCTGTGTGCTTGGAAGGGTGGGGGGAGTGCCAGAGCACTCATGTCCATCCATGTCTCTCTCCACTGTAGATCTGATGACCCATCTGTGCCAACCAAACCCCATTGCTCTTTCTCACAGTGCTCAAACCATGAGTGGTTCAACCTCTCAACCCACAGACAGGTGCAGAATTGCTGCTGGGTTGGTTTACAAGTAACCTTCCAAGGGTTAATGTATTGTGAGAAGGTTGCAAAGGGCTGAAGCCTGGAATCCCCTCGATTCCTTGCCTGGAGAAACACAAAGTCCAATAAGCCAGCACCCCTGGATTCGTGTTGGGGGGGATTAATTCATGCACTTGATGTTAAAGCTTGTCCGAGAGGTTTGCATGGGGGGGCCATTGCTAGGGCTAGTTGGCCTCTCTAAATGGTTGCTAGGGCCCTGGCATCAAGGTCCAATGTAGCTGCCCACAGCCACGGTCACGGAGGGAATTACACAGCCACAAAGAAATTGTTATTCTACATAATCTGCTCTTTGGAGAGTGACTGTGGGGAAACAGGCTGGCCCCAGCATGCCGCCAGCTCTGTGATCATAGAAGCGTGCTGGCTGCAAAGATCGGCCAGGGCTCGCCTTCTGATCTGGGGACACCAGGGCTCGAGGCGCTAATCTGCTTTATCAGCGATTTCTCTCTCCTGACACAAAGGTGTTTACTTGTTTTAACATCTCCCAGGACTCTATTTCTCCTTTTGTGTGGTCTTTATCCCCCGACGAGGGCTTTAGCCCAGATTACAGACAGAATTAAGGCATTTGGCGATGTGCCTCAGAACTGTGTGATGCTGGATCAAGGAGCAGAATGTAACAAAATAATGGAGGGAGATGCTGAGAGTGACCCCACTGCGGGATCCGTGCTGTTGGCTTTCAGGACTGCTTCATTGTCCTGAGAACCAGGAGGCTGTTGGTGAGGGGTGGCCATGCAGCAGAGTTTTAAAAGCAGGTGCTTCAGGTTTTATTGTGTCCAGCATTTTTGATGTAGAGAGTGTGAGGAGAAGGAGAAGGAAAAAAGGAGGGTTTGCAATAGGTGGCCATATCAAGAAGCTGGGCAGATTGCCCACTCCATTCTCAGGAGTCTGTCCTGTCTGAATATTACCGGCTGCTGCAGCCAGAGCAATGACACTGGGACAGGTTATGCTATGCACCTGATGCAATTTCGTGTGACCCAAGGAAGAAGATCAAGCTTCTTCTTGAAGTCTGGCAGGCTGGGACCTCACCAGGCACCATCCACTAGGTGAGCTGCTGCTTCTGCATATAAACAAGCAACACAGTGATACTACCAGAAAGCATTCAGTATAGAGCTTCATGGAGATCTTGCTTTGCTCTTTCACTGCAGGCAAGGAATTAAAAAGGAAGAAAGGATCAAAAAAAGGAGAAAAATCTAGCCTTTGGGAGGTCATCTCCAGATGATTGATCATTGGGGTGGTTGCTTTTGACCTATCACGTTCAGCCCCAGATATGGTATTTGTAGAATGTGGTATAACAGGAGGGGGTTGAGGAGAGCAGCCATGACAGACTGGGTTGGGAAAGTCTGATATGCCTGTGGATCTGTGCTGTGTGTCAAAGATCTAGGAAAATACCCCAGTGGGACAGTATTTTGAAGGACAGAGTATGGGATTGGATTGAACATGTAAATGGCTCTTGCAGACTATTTGGAGTCTGACTAAGATGGGAGTTGTCTGCTATGGAACTGGAGCTGTATAATTCAGAATACTGGTCCCTTCTCCCAGGGAACAGGATCCCATTCTGCTGGGGGTCAGCTGCATCTGTACCTTGGCTCTTCCTCTTTCAGCTGGGACTCCTGCTGGTCACCCTTCATGACCCTTCATGGTTAGTGGCCAACAAGTAGCAGAAGCTGGGGGTGGGAGAGGAAAACTGTGTGGGCTTTTGTATTCTGTTATATCACAGAAATGAGATCTGGAGGGCTTCTGTGACACCATCTGTGCTCCGGCCAGCTGAACTGGAAGGGCTTTTTGCTCTGAATGACTCTTCCCCTAATGTGTTTCATTGCAGTGGTCAGCTGTTGACCTGTTTAGGGACCGACTTCCATCGTGGAGCTGGAGTCCTGGATGTGTTCTACGAAACGCCCTCCCTTCTCCTTTCCTGTGGGTATGACACCTACATCCGCTACTGGGACATACGGACCAGCACCAGGTGAGCCTGCCCTGCTGGTGTCTGGGGCCCACGGAAGGCTCCTGCACTGTCCTTGTGCAGCGTCTGGGAACTCAGCTCGCACTGAATTAGTTCCTTCAGGCAGAGTGGATGGAGGAGGCTCAGCCCTGCTCTGGTTTGTGTTGTCCTTGCAGGAAGTGTGTCCAGGAGTGGGAAGAGCCCCATGACAGTGCCCTGTACTGCATAAGGAGTGATAAGAACTATATGATTGCCAGTGGCTCTTCCTACTACGGCGTGGTGCGCCTCTGGGATAAGCGGCAGACTCGGTGCCTGCAGGTGAGCACCAGTGAGAGTTTGAGCAGCAGCAGAGCTTCTCAGTTGTTTTCTGGCAGCCCAGTGTGCATGCCTTGTGGGAAGAAGATAGAGGGGCTTCTGGGCTGTCTTTGGGGCTTGTCCACCACGGCAAACCTAACTTATATGTAGGGAAAACCTGCTTTCTCAGACATCTCAGCCTTTGGATCTGTAACACCAGCCAGCATCTTTGGCCTGACCTTGTTTCTGAAAGGTTGATTGTCCTGTTTTTTGCAGAGCTTTCACCTGTCTTCACCCACCAGCAGCCCAGTGTACTGTCTCCGTTTCAGTACCACCCACCTGTACGCTGCCCTGGCATCAGCCCTGCACGTCCTGGACTTCACAGCCTTGTGAAGGACACCACAGCTGCTTCTGGTGACCCCAACTCAGCAGAGCTGACACATGGCTCAGGGAATTGCAGGGCAGGAGAGGTGAGAAAGGCCCACAAGGCTTCTGAAAGGACTTTTTTGCCTGCCAGAAAGCCACAATGAAGAGTGCAGAAAGGGCCAAACTTTCTCAACCTTACCTGCCTGTTAATGAAAATAATAGGCCAATTGTCCTTTACCCTTTTTATTTTATGCAAGTCAGGAATTGTTTTATTAAATGTGTTCCTTTTTTCTTTTCCTTTTTCCTTTGTTGTTTTGTTTTGGTTTTTTTTCCTGTGGATACATCATTTAAGGGGCAAATTGAGCCAGGATGCCCCATCAGCTGTGTGCTGGTCAGTTTGAGATCAGCCAAGCTCTAAGCATGTGAAACAAGACTAGGCTGTGTGTGGGGTGAACTGATTTGGTGGAAGGGAAAGGTGCCTGGAGCAAGGCCCACCTTTCTCCTTAACTTGCTGTTCTGACAGCTGCTTGTGTTGTCCTTCACATCCAAGAGCAGCAATTGAGCTAAAAGGCAGAGCCAGCCCTGTTTTCAGTGTGCCTCCCCAAGTTGGCCGTCAGGTCAGGCTATGCACTTGGCAGGGCTGAAATGGTCATGTTTTGCTAAATAAAACTGAAAGGAAACAAAAGAGATTGTATGTTTTCTTTCAAGTTCTGAAGGAGCTGTGATGTTACCTGCTGATTGCAGGGGCCTGGGTGGGTGGGGGAGGTTGGACCTATTTTCAGATGCTGATTTCCATGTCTAATAGATCTCTCTCTGGGGATAGACCCTGTGATATTGCTGCAATGAAGGCGGTTCCTGGGAGCTTGGATCTCCTGTCACTTTTTCAAACAAGAATTCAAAAAGTAGGATCTGTGACTCATTTGGTATCTGCACAATGAAGCAGCAAATCAGACTAGTATGAACAGCTGGATGTGATTTACTGGGATCCTGTAGACACATTCAAGTGGGCTCTGCTCCTTTTTGTGTCATCCTTCTGAACCTGACGTGGGTCTCTGAAAAACCATAGCTTTCAGCATGCTCTGTGCTGTGTGATTGGATGTGGATAATGTGCTGTGAGTGGTGTCTGGGGTCTGGCCCTCCTTGGGGAAGGAAGTGTGGAGGCCCTATTTGGTTGAGTTTGGGTGTCCTGGATAGGTAGAGGAGAGGTTTTTATCACAAACTAAGAGCACTCCTAGGGTGAGCCACTCAGCGTGGTGTTTTGTTAGAACTTGGTACGTTCATTTCCACTGTCAAGAGGCTGCTCTTCCCTTGTGATGCACAAGGATTGGAGGAATATGTTTGCTGGAGCCCCAGACTCTTAAGGAATTATCATGGTGTGAAAGCAGCCTCATCAGGGGAGCTATGTTAGGAGCCCATGAGCAGCTCACTTGAAGGTAGGGATAGGCTTGCATAGTAACTGTTCAAATATGAACTGTGATGGAGCAACATTCAGAAATCTAAGCAAGGGGATGGCTGTTGGAGAAGTTGGTGAAGCAGCACTGTTGGGGCTGTCCCTGTGCAGTGAGGTTTGCAATGGTCCATGTTTGTGCCTTCACAGAAGGGTGGGCAGCTACTGCTCCTTAGGTGGCCAGCCACTGCTTCCCCTCCCTGCCAGGCACATGGAGGCAGCTGCACATTGGTTTCTGCCCTCTGCACAGCCCTGTCATGTTGTGGATGGCTGGCACTAAGGAAGAAGCTGCATGTCTTCTTCTTTACCCTGTTTCATAGGCTGTGCCCACTCAGTCTAAACATGGATGCTGTTTGCAGAGATTCCAAAGTCACCAGAGCATCCTTCTGACTGCATGGAGGAGCCGCATAACTGCACAGGAGGGAGCTGCTTCCAGCACATCCCAGGCAAGTAATGGATGTGAGGAAGGAGTTCTTGTTTTCCAAACATTACTGCCTTCAGCAATGGTGGCAGATGGGAAATTCCCAAGGTGTCATGTTGGATGGGGACAGGGCTGCTGGTTGTGGATGTGGTATGCTTCCTTTGCACACTACAGCTTCCCACAATTCATAGAAGGATCACTCCATCCCTGGAAACATTCCAGGCCAGGTTGGGTAGGGCTTTGAGCAATCTGTTCTAGCGGAAGGTGTCCCTGCCCATGACAGGGAGGTTAGAATTGGATGATCTTTAAGGTCCTTTCCAACACAAACCATTCTATGGTTTTATGAAATGTCAGCATAAATCGGCAGGCCAGGCAGCAGGCAGGTCACCTGCCTTGCCGTCTTCCCGAGTTTACAGATTCCTCCAAATGTCTCTATTAACAACAACAACGTTTTTATTAGATAAGGCAAAATAAATACCATGAAGCTGTGCCAGAGAGCTGCTCCTTACTTCAACCTCTTAGCAGCCACTGCCTACTGGGTCTTACAGTCTCCATCCCCACTGTTAGCTGCCTTTATCTTTTTCAGCTCCTTCTGCAGCTGCTCTTCTGCAGCCAGGATCTCCTTTGGCTTCTGGTACTGTAGGACAGAGAGAAATGCCCTTAGCACTCCTGAACTCCTGTTCAGCCTTTGCTCCAAGCAGACCCACTGCAACCTGTTGCTGCCAGCCCAGCAAGGGCCCTCCTGCCAAGGGAGGCCTTGTCATTACCAGCAGCCTCTGAAGCCTGTTTCAAGAGGTGGTGCTATCAAGCACCAAGCACATTTACCAAGTTCGGGAGTGTCTTTTACAGTGCAAGTAAAACTTTCCAGTTAGGTGTGGAATCCTGGCCCCCACCAACCCCTCTGGAATATCCTGGCAAGCAGATCCTTGCTGTCCTCACTGACCATATGCTCACAAGTGCTTTATATAAAATATGGGGTTTTTTTAATGCAGAGAGAAGTAAGAGTTGCAGATCCTCTGTCTTCCCCTCAGAGGCCTCTCACCCAGCTGCAGCTTAGTGGTGGATGCAGGTGCTTTTTGCAAAGTTTGGCCAGTAGCAAACAGAAGCTCAGGAGGACTCAGGGTGCTCCTCCTCTTGGCCTATTTCCTCTGCACGTGCAGCCCAGGTCTGCTACCAGGTTTCTCATGGAGGGTGTATCCTCTGTGTAGCTGACTTCTGCACTGAATAAGGCAAACACCTGTTGCTCAAAGCATCTGTCTGCTCCTTGCAACAAAAAGTGTATGTCCATGTTGCTAGTCTCTTGCTTCCACCATTTGTGTGGAAGTGTTCCCTCTTTGACACAAAGCAACAGGTGGTTATTTTTTTTATTATTCTGTTTTAAGACTCCGAGACCTCAAAGTGCAGCAGATTCTTGGGCTTTTATGCTCTGAGACAAGAGAAATTTAGTGTCACTGAGAGTGGAGGCTTGCTCAGGTGTGAGGGAGGGAATACATGGAAAAGAGGGCATGATAGACATTCTTACACCTGTATGTCACCTTGAGCAGCAAGCAGGGCCTCTCCTGCCACTGGGGATCTCTAGGCTAATGTCAGCATGCCCAGTGTAATCTGAAACTCCCACCGACTGTGTGACAGCGAAGGAGCTGCATGGGTGACTCTCAGCTCAGACTCATTTCCCCACGTGTAAGAACTTTAGTGTCTTTGTGGATATAAAGAGTGCTGATCTGCATGGTTAAAACCTCACCGTGATGATCAGGGTGTTGTTGGCATGAGTGAAGCTCAGGGCAGCTGCATCCAAGGGGAGGTGGTATCGGTCCAGATCAGGAATAGAGAACTTTTTATAGTACCTACAAATGAGAGAGGAGACAGAAATAAGCAAGATGGGGTTTCTATTCTGCCACTAACGGAGTGCTGAGACACAGACTGCTGGTCTGCAAAGTGTACATGAGGACAACAGACCTCTCAGGGTTGGCAAAAGGCCCTTATGCCATGTTGTGTACCTGCCGGTGCCCCCAGGTTAGCAGGAGCACTAGAAACAAACCTCCAAACTGGAAACCAGGGCTGGCTAAGTCCTGAAGAGCTTTGGTGTGTGACAGCAGGCTTGGTTCCTCCAGCTTGCCTGTATGTGTAGTGCCAGCTATGGTTAGACTACTCAGCCCTACCAAGGTGTTCCTTGTCTTTTCCCTGCTCATGGCCTCTTATTCCCTCTAAGTAACAGCTTCCTTTAGCTTTTGTCAAAATAGCTGTCAAAGCTCTTGTGCCATATGATTTACTGTGATGCAATCCTTCCTAAACCCCTCTTTTTAACTTCTTGCTGTATTTCCTAGGTAGCTTCTTGTTTTGGTGGCACAGTGGTGCTCATGCATACCCTGGGCACAGATCTCCAGTTGTAACTGCCCACAATCACCTAAGCCTCTGCTCTGCAGCATCTCCATGCAGCATCTCCTGCATGGTGGCTGTGGTGCTCCTCTGCACTTACAGCTCTCCTAGTTGTTCCTTTCCTGGTTTCTATCCCAGTCTTCCAATAACCTCTCATATCCAACAGAGAGGTTTTTGCCAGCCAAGAGATTTCTTAAGACTTTGGAGCCAGAACCCTGTAGACCTATGTCTGTGTTTGCCTGAGATCTTCTGTGCTTGGCATTACTTGCTCTGCATCTACTGCTTCTCTCTGGGGCTACACCAAATACACTGGGCTTGTGGTCCTATGCCCACCTAGAGGCATGGCTGGATTCTTAGTCTCTTCCAACACTCTTGTGGGAAATCCTCTCCAAGGAATTGGCCTCTAACTGGTACTGAGGTGCCTGGAGAAAGTGGGAATAAGCAGTGGCTGCTACCATGAGGGATGGTTCTCAATTCAGCTGGCTGTGTGTGAGGCTTGGCCTCTCTAGCTACCTCTGTCCAAACTGCAGTTTATTTTCCAAGTCACGGTGAAAACAGCTACAAAGGGCAAATGGCTTTCCCGGTGCAGTGGGAGGAATGTACATGGCTTGTTACCGCAGGGCTCAAACCGTTCTGTGTTGTCACTGCTGTCGGTATTTGGAAAAGGTGGCAGACATGGATAATAAGGGAGATGTCAAAGGTTAAACAGCAGAGATTAGATGAACACAAAGACATGTTAAGGAAGTGTTAACTTCTTACCGATTAGACAAAAAAAAAAAGCAGTACACAAGAAAAAAACCCACTGTTTCAAAGGGCCTTGGGAGTCATCAATGAAACAGCAGCATTCTGCTGCCCCAGGACTAAGGAGAAGAGGAGAAGAATGGCTTTGGCTGGCCTCAAACTAAAATCTGTGACAAGATCAAAGGAAACCAGATCTGCTTTGCCAACCCCTCCTCCTCCTAACATTACCACTGCCTCTCACTACAATAATTGAATCAGGTTTGGCGTTTGGGGAGGTGGCTTTCTAGGTTTGTTTTTAGAGTTCAGTTTAATGGATTTATTTTACAGCAAGAGGTTTTAAGCAAATCCCACTTGAGCAGCCCTTGCCGTGGCCAGAGGGAACAGAGTGACTGGTGGAAGTGAAGAGCTCCTGTCTGGGCTGGGGAGGTAGCTGATGGGTGGTTATCCCAGCCGATGGAGGCTGATTGATTCTCTGCCCTCTCCTCTCACCCTATGGCCAAGGGGCAGTATTACACTCTAAGCCCAAGTCCTGGCCCGAGATCCACAGTATGTATGTGAAATCATCTCTGTTATTTTCCTACTGGAAACCCACTTTTTGTTAGCCCGTAGGGAAAACTGCTACTGGTATGCTGAGAATTTAGAGCTGAGCTACTCAGTAGTGACTTGGCAGCCCATCCTGTTACTTGTGCCTCTGGCTGGCGGTCAGCACAGCTCTGCTGCTCAGAAGCAGCATGGCTAACTTCCAAGGGTTGGAGAGGCTCCGAGGCTTCCTTTCTCTCTCATAGTGATGTGCACTCTGTGGATTCCATGCTGTTGTTGCTATCTTGGAATTAGTTGCTGAGTGGTGTCTTGCCCTGGCCGAGACCCAGGAGAAATGATCTAAGATATCCTGGAGCCTGTACTAAGTGTGCTAGTGCTGGTGTCTGTCCCTGCTCCCTACTGACAGCAACGTCATTCTTGTCCTCAGTGAAGTGGCTTTCAGCTTTAATTCTAAAAGTCATTAACTGTCAGACACAGGCCATGATTTGCTCTTGGGTCCTCTGGTATTAGTCTGTGAGAGAACAAGTGTCAGCTGCTCATGGAAGACTCTCCTGAGAGCCATACAAAAAAGCCAGAAGTCAGGTAGGGTGTAGGTAAAGCCTCAGTGCTACATCATAACCTTATGGCATCTATGCAGGAAGTTCCCACATACACACTGCTATCAGTAGGCCTGGGAGTAGATAAGCCTGTCTGTGACAGTATGTGCTTGGATTTAGGATCAAGTAGTCCATTCCTGTCCTAGCTCCATGGATATCCATGTGTGGCTGATGGGAATCTCATTCATCTTTTGCTACATGGATCTCCCTACTAAAGCACCACTGTTCTGTGAATCCCTCTGTGCGCATTTGGGCCAACATATTTCTGTATTAGAGCTGTAATTACTTGCTGTTTCTATGGGTTAACTTCCCTTTTCCCAGCCTTCTGGTTTTGAGCCGCCAGGTATGCTGATGTGCAGAGCTCCAGCAGCCTTTTGCCAGGAGACTCCCGTGTGCCGCGAAGTCCTCGGCAGCAGAGGGGCCGCAGTTCTGTGCCGACAGCACCACCTACAGCCACTTCCATCACCTTCCCTTGTGCTCCCAAGGCTCGTTCCGTGCACTCACTTCCCTATACTACAGCTTATCTTGGCTTATCTGAGGCTGTACATGCTTTGGGACACAGTGTGTGTTTCATTCCATGTGAGATGCCATGTATTGACACACTACAAGATGTGGCTGTAACAGCATTTTCCATTTTCTTCCTCCCATCTCAAATCTCTCTTGGCAGAACGCCGTGGTGCTTCTTTTCCAGATTCAATCTGTCTTTTTTGCTTGCTACCTCCAGATCACATCACTGGCATTGTGACTATCAGACATGTTTATGCAGGGAGATTTGTTTGGGTGCCCACAACTTTGCTATCCATGTTGAATCCTACAGCATTATGAGATGCAGTGACTAAATCAGAGGGAGAAAATGGAATGTTCTAACTTCAAGAGGTCTGCAAGGCTTTTACTTTATTTTTCTAAGAAAGTGACATCTGATGGTAAGAACAGCGCAAGCACCACCCTACAGGAGCCAAGATGAATTTGCAATGGCCAATGCAGAGCTTGGGGGGCCCTAGTTGTGTCTGAGGCAGTGGGGAGTGGAAATTGGGCAGCAGGAGACGTGCTGCAAGGTGAGGCCCCTCAGCCCTTGCACACTGGGGACAGAAGAGGGGACAGCCCCCTGTGCAGTCACTAGCCTGCTCCCTGTGCCAGCCCACCCCCAGGGACTGTCAGCACCGGCAGTGCTGTCCTTACTGACTTCTTGTTGGTGGTCCGGACGACGCAGCAGCGCTGCTCCTCCTCCACGGAGACGCTGTAGACCTCTTTGGGGTAGGGAAGGTTACGGATCCGCCACTGGAAGCTGCTCAGGGTATCCTTCCTCATGAAGATAGGCTACAGCAAACAAGTACCTTTAGCAAGGCCTCTCCAGCTGTCTCTTCTCCTCCCTGTCTCCTTCCTGTACTACCTTGTGAGACCCCACATGGAAACAGCTATTCTTTCACACCAGAGCATTAGGTAGTAACCCAAGAAGCTGCCTGAGCATCACTTTCCTACAGCTAGGGCTGCTCTGCTGTGGCCCAGGGCACTGCTTGCAGGAGGCTGAAAGTGTTCAGTGGGGAAGCCTTGCAGTACAGGGCTACAGGGGCCTCTTCCTCACAGACAACCAAATACTGAGCTCTGCCTGCTCTAGGAACCTGGTGGATTCAGTCCTAGCTCTGCCCAAATTTATGGTGCAGAGCTGTGCTTGTGTTTCAGAAGCACAGCTTCTGAAAAGATAATGAGAGACTAAAACAGCTGCGCCCTCAGCTAAAGGGGTGTGAAGATGAACCAAGCTGTGCCCTGTCAGGGAGCAGCCTGCTATGCACTGCCACCTTTCATTGCTATCACCTTTGTTTTCCACCCTGACTTGTCCTGGCACTGGCATTCCTGTCACCCTGCTCTTTCAAGACAGGATAGTAGTTCGCCAACACAGCAGTAAAGTTTCTTTACTTAAGGAAATGACAAATCTCTTGAAGACTCCTAAAAAACCTAAGCTGTGCCTTCTTTCTCCTCAGCCCTGCAGTTTTGAGGTGATTTGTAGCAGCGTGCTGGGTGCATTAGGGCCATCTCTTGGTGACCTGTGCTCTACCAACTACTGCTGTAAGCACAAGACAAGGTAGTTTTAGGTGCAGTGGTACCTGCAGACCCTTACATACATTTGAACTGCTCTCTGTTATAAGCTCTGACTCCAGTGCTCCCAGGAGTGGCGAGGTCGGCTCTCCCACTTCCACCTGCCACTTGCCGGTGCCCCCAAGGGTGTTCTTCTCTCGCCATTTTCTACCTGGGGAAGAGAGAAGAAGTGTTTTCATTCTTCTGCTCTCTAAGAACTCCAGCAACTGACTGCAAAAGCTGCCCAGCACACTGAGATGATATGAATATACATATCTTAATTGCAGTAATTTTGACTTTGGTATGAGTTGATCTGCTAGTTGGCCTATTCCTAGGTCAGAAATTCTGTGCTGAGTGCCTCTTTTTTGCTACTTGGTGCTGAAGCCATGGTGGGGTTGTGACAGGTGCTGTGCTGCAGCTGATGTGGTTTTGGACAAGAGCCATAAACAACACTTTGTTTGCAGTAGCAGAAGCCACCAAAAAGCATATTTCAGCCCTTCATGTGGTACAGACTTGGTGCCTGGCAACTGTGATGGCAATCCCATCTAGTCCATCCATGTTGTGACAGATGGGAAATCCTGGGCTAAAGCAAAGTCAGAGAACCCTGGCTGCAAGCTGGACCCTCCTTCTGTCCCTACAAAATTCTGCTACAGACATGGCTGTCTCCCAGAGTAGGCAGGGATGATTTGTTCCTGACCAGGTGGTCCATCTCAACATCCCAGCCCTGAGGCTACAAACCCACTGCCCTGCAGAGCACCACTTACTTATTAACTGGCCTGTCTTAATGTCGTACTCTTCGGCCATCTCCTTCCCATCCTCGAACAAATAGTGGATCTTCCGTTTCCCTAGAGGCAAGGCAGGTGTGAGAAGAAACGGGACACCCCTGGGTGTAGGACTCTGTCCCACTGTCTGGGGCTCTATCCCATTGTCCGGGACCCCATCCCACTGCCCGCGTTGATGGCCTTGTGTCCTTCCCCGCGGCCCTGCCCGGGGTGCGGGGCTGTGCCCAGGAGCGCTCCCCTCCGCGCCCGCTGGCTGCAGGACCACCCCGCACCCCGCGCCGGGGGCAATCCCGACCCTGACCCCGCGGTTACCGTCCTGCACCAGCGCCGTCTTGCCGGCCGCTCGCAGCCGCTCCAGCCAGCTCGGCACCGCCATGGCGGCCGCGCCGTCGCCGCGGCAACGCGGAAACTTCCGCGCGCGCGCCCGGCCGCGCTTCCGGCTGCGCGCGGCCCCGGGGTTCTCCCGCGCTCCCCGGGGTTCTCCCGCGCTCCCCGGGGTTCTCCCGCGCTCCCCGGGGTTCTCCCGCGCGGCCCCGGGGTTCTCCCGCGCTCCCCGGGGTTCTCCCGCGCGGCCCCGGGGTTCTCCCGCGCGGCCCCGGGGTTCTCCCGCGCTCCCCGGGCCCTCCCGCGCCGCCCGGGGCCCTGCCCGCCCGCGCTCCGGCCGGGCCCTCCCGGCTCTGCCTCCCCTCAGCTCCCCGGCACGGCCGCGAGGCCTGCGGGGCCGCGCTTGTCCCCGAGGCTGTGGGTGCTGCCAGCCCCGAGCTGGTGGCCTTGAAACCTGGGCGGCCCGAGGAGGCTGGCGAGGCAGGTTTGGTGCGCTGTGGTTTGTGGGAGTTAAAACACCTCCGAGACCCGCAACGTACCTGGGCACCAGAGCCTCGGCAGGCTTTCCTGTGGGCTTTTTCTCTGTCTAATAGAAAAGATTACTGTTTCCAGAGGACTTTCTTTCTTTCTTTCTTTCTTTCTTTCTTT